GAATCCGGGCGTCCTCCGGCTCCCCGACAGGGTGCTATTAGGCGCCCCGGGCCTTCTCGTGTTAGCTATGGCACCTAAGTTTGTTTTAAGTGAGTGCAAAAGACTATGAATAAGTTGGGGTACTATAGTAGTTTACTAAGTTGAATCAGGCGGTTCCGCCGGAGCCTCAGCATGGTGCGATTTGGCGCCCCGGGCCAGACTGTGAGCACTTTGCGTTTATGTTTGCGTTTGTGTTTTCTTTGTGTTTGGTTTTGCATTTGTGGTTGGGTTTCACAGAGGCCAGTGTAGGGCCTGGCCGGGACGGCTAGTATATATATATATTTATTTATTTATTTATTTATTTATTTATTTATTTATTTATTTATTTATTTATTTATTTATTTATTTATTTATTTATTTATTTATTTATTTATTTATTTATTTATTTATTTATTTATTTATTTAATCATATTTTCACACATTAACACATAAACCATCTTTACATGATACACTGATTTGGATATTGCTACCGTATGTTGCTGTAGATAGTGAGGTTCCCTGTGGTCATTAATTCACATTCACAGCCTGTGCTTGCTGGAGAAGAATGTTCACTAGTCCTGGTTATAATGACAAAGTCATTTGCAGAATAGCTTTTTGTGGTATTGTCACAGGCTGCTTGGTGATGAAGACTCCAGTTACCTGTCAGAAATGATGCTCTGTTAGTGGGACTGGGATGTAAATGTTGCTCTGTTAGTGGGACTGGGATGTAAATGTTGCTCTGTTAGTGGGACTGGGATGTAAATGTTGCTCTGTTCGTGGGACTGGGATATAAATGTTGCTCTGTTAGTGGGACTGGGATGTAAATGTTGCTCTGTTAGTGGGACTGGGATGTAAATGTTGCTCTGTTAGTGGGACTGGGATATAAATGTTGCTCTGTTAGTGGGACTGGGATGTAAATGTTGCTCTGTTAGTGGGACTGGGATATAAATGTTGCTCTGTTAGTGGGACTGGGATGTAAATGTTGCTCTGTTAGTGGGACTGGGATATAAATGTTGCTGTTAGTGGGACTGGGATATAAATGTTGCTGTTAGTGGGACTGGGATGTAATTGTTGCTTTGTTAGTGAGACTGGGATATAAATGTTGCTCTGTTAGTGGGACTGAGACTTATTGAGTAAGATTTGATTATAACTATTAGACTAAAATAAAATTTAACTTGATACTGAAGTTTAAAAATAGTTTTATGAACTAAAACCAAGCTGAAAATGTAAGTATAGTAAGTCATGTTCCCTTTCGAACCTGACGGTCCATGGGGCAAGTGAAGTAGAGTTCTCCTGTTTCTTTGATCGCAGCATAAGAAGGGATAGTAAATTCAGCACTATTCCCAGACGCCTTTACTTTTCAGAACATCAGCTAGGTACTTATCAGAGCTGCGTGGACTCAGGGACGCCCTACGTATTTAAACCCGTATTCAAACTCAAGACTTTCGGTTAGTAGTCGTTTTCTGTTTAGCTGAAAAATTATAAACTTAACTCGGGCCTCCCCCTTCTCTACATGCGTTTTTTCCAGGACCCTCTTGTCCTCACCATCTGCCCCTTTGGACATCAAAAATGTGCCCCCCCCCCTCCCCACTAACCGCCAGGATATAGTGGTGTTACCGTTAGGGTTAAACAGCTCCATGAAGAGAAATGTAACAAAGACGGTTTCTGCCATCTCTGTCACTTTCCTATCTCACCAGACGTTGCTTAACTGACTTGTCTTTACTGGCGTGTCTTTACTGGCGTGTCTTCGTTGGTGTGTATTTATTGACATGTTTTTACTGATGTGTCTCACAAGTAGTGTCTTTACTGACGTGTTTTCAGTGATGAATCTCGGCTTACATGTTTTTACAACCGTGTTTCGACAGACGACCTCACTAAAATTTTAATCCTGGCTTGTCACTTAATTAAAAAAGCGAATCATAGAATCATAGAAATCATTTTATTTTCATTGTTAAAAAGTCTGTACAATAGATTATTTAATATTTGTTCTTTATGTAAATACATATAAATATAAACGCAAACATAAACTTACTCTAGTAGAGTTTCTCCATAAAGCCAACAAGCCAGCTATGTGGGGGTCACACAACAGATCGTGTGAGCAACAATCGTCTGACACTTGACCCTCTCGGTCATGTGTAAAGAACTTCCTGGTAAACCGTGTGGCCGACTCATCTTTTACATCGGAGTAGACACAGCTGCTCAACAGTCTGGACAATCTGGAGAAAACAAAATCCTATGGGAAAACTAAGATATCAGTTTCCATGTCACTGCGCCCTTAACCGCTCTCACAGCTATCTCCCCCACACCCCCATTTAACGTAGTTCACTTCACACCACTTACAAATTTGGTCTAATAACTTGCATTGTAATCTTCATTCATTGTTAAGGGGGGGGGGGGGGGGGAGGCTCCGGTTAAAAAAAAACAACATTTTTAATACTCGTTAGAAAACACTTATTTCTTTACAGCTTTATTAAGATACATCCGCATATGCATTTCCACTAAAAAAATTGTAGAAAATCTTGCTTACTATGACAACGGCGGCCATCTTGAAAAAATAATTTGTTATGAATTTTCTAAACTTGTGTCCGTTCAAAACACTTAATTTTGGGGTATTTTGGGGCATTGAAACTAGTGTTTTTAATGGACCCACAATTTGAAAATTCATAAAATATTAGTTTGAAGATATGCACTTAAAATGTTTAGCTGAGCAGTGGCGTAGCGAGGTCGGGTGTTACCCGGTGCGGCACGTAATGGTGTCACCCCCCCCCCCCCCCCCCCCAGAGGCGTAGCGACCCTTCCCAGAGACAAACTTTCAAGTTTTCGATTTGCACCCCCCTTCAAGTTTTCGATTTGCACACCCCCCCCCTCAAGTTTTTCTCTATATATTTTGCTATTTTTTGCCTTGGTGTCAACCCCCTAAATGGTGTCACCTGGTGCGGTCCGCACCCCCGCCCCCCCTCCCCCTCGCTACGCCCCTGTAGCTGAGTACCCCAAAATATGGAAGAATATTATGAATTCATTGTTTTTTTGGCTTAAAATATAATATTTTATGAATGGTGGAAATCCTACGGAGCGGTTAATTTTTTAAGATGGCCGCCGTTGTCATAGTTACCAAGATTTTTCCACCATTTATTTTAGTGGAATTGCATATGCGGAAAAGCTGTAAAGAAATAACTGTTTTCTAACGAGTATTTAAAAAGTTTTTTTTTACCGGAGCCTACCCCCTTAATACATCTCTTTGTGCCTAAAATTGATAGATAGATAGATAGATAGATAGATAGATAGATAGATAGATAGATAGATAGATAGATAGATAGATAGATAGATAGATAGATACATACATACATACATACATACATACATACATACATACATACATACATACATACATACATACATACATACATACATACATACATACATACATACATACATACATACATACATACATATAACATACATACATATAACATACATACATATAACATACATACATACATGCATACATACATACATGCAAACATACATACATACATACATACATACATACATACATACATACATACATACATACATACATACATACATACATACATAGTGTATTATTAGCATTTTCTTCTTGTTATTTTAAAATCTACAAAGCAACATTACAAAATAAACGAAAATAGTTTAATTTAAAATCGTGACATTGCAATTAGCCACGCCCAAGTGAGTCTATATAGACCAGCGTTGTTATCATGCACTGATGGCTATCATTGTAAGTGTAGACACTTACCATAATCAAGCGCGCCGCTCACTTCCATTCTCTTTAAACGAAACAAAAATTTAGAGGTCAGAAATTTTTCCCAGATGTTCATTTACAGTCACACATACCTCTAGCCTAGAGGCTACCACACATACCTCTAGCCTAGAGGCTACCACACATGCCTCTAGCCTAGAGACTACCACACATACCACTAGCCTAGAGGCAACCACACATACCTCTAGCCTAGAGACTACCACACATACCTCTAGCCTAGAGACTACCACACATACCATACCCTAGAGGCTACCTCACATACCACTAGCCTAGAGGCAACCACACATACCACTAGCCAAGAGTCTACCACACATACCATACCCTAGAGGCTACCACACATACCACTAGCCTAGAGACTACCATACATACCATACCCTAGAGGCTACCACACATACCACTAGCCTAGAGGCTACCACACATACCTCTAGCCTAGAGACTACCACACATACCTCTAGCCTAGAGGCTACCACACAAACCTCTAGCCTAGAGACTACCACACATACCTCTAGCCTAGAGGCTACCACACATACCTCTAGCCTAGAGGCTAACATACTAACAAACACTAACCCATCTTAACCCACACACAAACCCCATCTTACCCCACACACCAACTCCATCTAACCCCACACCAACCCCATCTAACCCCACACACACCGACTCCATCTTACCCCACACACCAACCCCATCTTACCCCACACCAACCCCATCTTACCCCACACATACCCCATCTAACCTGACACACCAACTCCATCTTACCCCACACACCAACCCCATCTTACCCCACACACCAACCCCATCTCAAACCACACACAAACCCCATCTCACCACACACACCAACTCCATCTAACCCCACACACACCAACCCCATCTTACCCCACACACAAATCCCATCTAACCCCACACACCAACTCCATCTTACCCCACACACAAACCCCATCTAACCCCACACACCAACTCCATCTAACCCCACACACACCAACCCCATCTAACCTGACACACCAACCCCATCTTACCCCACACACCAACTCCATCTTACCCCACACACCAACTCCATCTAACCCCACACACACCAACCCCATCTAACCTGACACACCAACCCCATCTTACCCCACACACCAACTCCATCTTACCCCACACACCAACTCCATCTTACCCCACACACCAACCCCATCTTACCCCACACACCAACCCCATCTAACCCCACACACCAACCCCATCTAACCCCACACACCAACCCCATCTTACCCCACACACCAACTCCATCTAACCCCACACACCAACTCCATCTTACCCCACACACCAACCCCATCTTACCCCACACACCAACCCCATCTAACCCCACACACCAACCCCATCTAACCCCACACACCAACCCCATCTTACCCCACACACCAACTCCATCTAACCCCACACACACCAACCCCATCTTACCCCACACACAAATCCCATCTAACCCCACACACCAACTCCATCTTACCCCACACACAAACCCCATCTAACCCCACACACCAACTCCATCTAACCCCACACACACCAACCCCATCTAACCTGACACACCAACCCCATCTTACCCCACACACCAACTCCATCTTACCCCACACACCAACTCCATCTAACCCCACACACACCAACCCCATCTAACCTGACACACCAACCCCATCTTACCCCACACACCAACTCCATCTTACCCCACACACCAACTCCATCTTACCCCACACACCAACCCCATCTTACCCCACACACCAACCCCATCTAACCCCACACACAAACCCCATCTAACCCCACACACCAACTCCATCTAACCCCACACACACCAACCCCATCTAACCTGACACACCAACCCCATCTTACCCCACACACCAACTCCATCTTACCCCACACACCAACTCCATCTAACCCCACACACACCAACCCCATCTAACCTGACACACCAACCCCATCTTACCCCACACACCAACTCCATCTTACCCCACACACCAACTCCATCTTACCCCACACACCAACCCCATCTTACCCCACACACCAACCCCATCTAACCCCACACACCAACCCCATCTAACCCCACACACCAACCCCATCTTACCCCACACACCAACTCCATCTAACCCCACACACCAACTCCATCTTACCCCACACACCAACCCCATCTTACCCCACACACCAACCCCATCTAACCCCACACACCAACCCCATCTAACCCCACACACCAACCCCATCTTACCCCACACACCAACTCCATCTAACCCCACACACCAACCCCATCTTACCCCACACACCAACCCCATCTTACCCCACACCAACCCAATCTAACCCCACACACCAACCCAATCTAACCCCACACACCAACCCCATCTAACCCCACACACCAACCCCATCTAACCCCACACACCAACCCCATCTAACCCCACACACACCAACCCCATCTAACCCCACACACCAACCCCATCTTACCCCACACACCAACCCCATCTAACCCCACACACCAACCCCATCTTACCCCACACACCAACCCCATCTTACCCCACACACCAACCCCATCTAACCCCACACACCAACCCCATCTTACCCCACACACCAACCCCATCTTACCACACACACAAACCCCATCTTACCCCACACACCAACTCCATCTAACCCCACACACCAACCCCATCTTACCCCACACACCAACCCCATCTTACCCCACACACAAACCCCATCTAACCACACAACGCTTCTTGTTTTTCTTGTAGTTTTTATAACCTGGACGACGTAGAGCACTCAACCATCAACAAATATCTGTCTAGTCTTGTGGGCAAGTCGCTCATGGAACTAGAGAGCTCCTACTGTCTGGAGATAGCTGAGGTAAGTGGTCAAGTGACAACCATCGTGTGAGGTAAGTGGTCAAGTGACCACCATCGTGTGAGGTAAGTGGTCCAGTGACAACCATCGTGTGAGGTCGTGACCACCATCGTGTGAGGTAAGTGGTCAAGTGACCACCATCGTGTGAGGTAAGTGGTCAAGTGACCACCATCGTGTGAGGTAAGTGGTCAAGTGACCAGCATCGTGTGAGGTCGTGACCACCATCGTGTGAGGTAAGTGGTCAAGTGACCACCATCGTGTGAGGTAAGTGGTCCAGTGACAACCATCGTGTGAGGTCGTGACCACCATCGTGTGAGGTAAGTGGTCAAGTGACCACCATCGTGTGAGGTAAGTGGTCAAGTGACCACCATCGTGTGAGGTAAGTGGTCAAGTGACCACCATCGTGTGAGGTAAGTGGTCAAGTGACCACCATCGTGTGAGGTAAGTGGTCAAGTGACCAGCATCGTGTGAGGTCGTGACCACCATCGTGTGAGGTAAGTGGTCAAGTGACCACCATCGTGTGAGGTAAGTGGTCAAGTGACCAGCATCGTGTGAGGTCGTGACCACCATCGTGTGAGGTAAGTGGTCAAGTGACAACCATCGTGTGAGGTAAGTGGTCAAGTGACCACCATCGTGTGAGGTAAGTGGTCAAGTGACCACCATCGTGTGAGGTAAGTGGTCAAGTGACCAGCATCGTGTGAGGTCGTGACCACCATCGTGTGAGGTAAGTGGTCAAGTGACCAGCATCGTGTGAGGTCGTGACCACCATCGTGTGAGGTAAGTGGTCAAGTGACAACCATCGTGTGAGGTCAAGTGACCACCATCGTGTGAGGTGAGTGGTCAAGTGACCACCATTGTTTCATGCGGTGGGGGGGGGGGGGGGTGTTGAGCTGAATTGATAACAAAGTTCTGGCATGACAGCATTGTCTAACAAAGTACAATTTTATGAACAGGATAACCGGACGATCATCCCTCAGACACTGGGGCGCATCGCCTCGTACTACTACTTGAAAAACAACACTGTGCGCATGTTTCGTGACGCCATGAAATCAGATTGTAGCATACCGGAACTACTGGATATCTTGTCTGTAAGTGGCTGTCGATCAATCTGCGTCGTTCAAATATTGGGTTAGACAACAGTTACTTGAATACAATATAATCCTAGTTGTCTCCCATTTATGTTTCTTCTAGTCTTTTCTCTCCCCCTACCCGAGTAAACTCCCATTGTTTTCTGTGAGCAGAATGCCGCGGAGTATGCCGAGTTGCCCGTCAGACATAACGAGGATCAGATCAACGGGTCAGTCAAATCTTTCTTATAGAAAAGTCTCTACAAGTTGACACTACCGGCAGGGAGACGTTCATTGCCATTGTTGATTGCCTTTCAGAGATCTGGCTGGGCAGGTACCACTGGAGGTAAACAAAGCCTCGCTGGACTCAGCTCACACAAAAACCAATCTGCTGCTGCAGGCCTACCTGTCCCACCTGCCCCTGCCCTCATCAGACTACCACACGGACACCAAGTCTGTACTGGACCAGGCTCTTCGAGTTCTGCAGGTAAGACCAGGCTAACTGTCTCTGTGTTGTTTGCTTCTCTTTTATTTCCTATACAAGAAAAACCTACAGAGGCCCTGCCGGTACAGAGTAAGACAAGGTTGCCTCCCTTCACCATTCTTGTTCCTGCTTGTTTATAACTGGATTAAAAAGATGTCACCAGAGAAAAAGCCAAATGGTATACAGTGGACACTGTGGAGCCAGCTGGATGACCTGGCCCTTCTTTCTCACACACAACAGCAATATAAAACCATCAGTGTTGCTAATTCTTCTACATGCCTGGGGCTCAACATCCACAAACGGAAAAGTTCTTTTAGTCAATGCATCAAGCAGCACCCCTATAACATTGTGGCTAGAAAAGAGGCCAACCAAGAAAGACCTGGAGACGTGACCTGGAAGAAGACACCAAGAAGATTGGATACACCCGGGGACAGAGAGACTAGCCCAGGACAGAGATGCCTGGAAAGCTCTTGTCAGCAGCCTATGTTCCAGGAGGGTCAAAGAGCTATTTCTACAAGAACTAACTGTAAACTGTTGTATAATGTTTCAGGAGGGTCAAAGAGCTATTTCTACAAGAACTAACTGTAAACTGTTGTATAATGTTTCAGGAGGGTCAAAGAGCTAATTCTACAAGAACTAACTGTAAACTGTTGTATAATGTTTCAGGCTATGCTGGACGTGTAAACTGTTGTATAATGTTTCAGGCTATGCTGGACGTGTCAGCTGACCAAGGCTGGCTGGTCACTTCACTCAATGTCATCATCCTCCTTCAGATGCTTGTACAGGGGCGCTGGTGGCATGACTGTAACCTGCTGACCCTACCTCATGTCCAGCCATATCACATCTATTGCTTCAGGTAAGACATCATTGCTTCAGGTAAGAGATCACATCTATTGCTTCAGGTAAGAGATCTATTGCTTCAGGTAAGAGATCACATCTATTGCTTCAGGTAAGACATCTATTGCTTCAGGTAAGAGATCTATTGCTTCAGGTAAGAGATCACATCTATTGCTTCAGCTAAGAGATCTATTGCTTCAGGTAAGAGATCACATCTATTGCTTCAGGTAAGAGATCTATTGCTTCAGGTAAGAGATCACATCTATTGCTTCAGGTAAGAGATCACATCTATTGCTTCAGGTAAGAGATCACATCTATTGCTTCAGGTAAGAGATCACATCTATTGCTTCAGGTAAGACATCTATTGCTTCAGGTAAGAGATCACATCTATTGCTTCAGGTAAGAGATCTATTGCTTCAGGTAAGAGATCACATCTATTGCTTCAGGTAAGAGATCACATCTATTGCTTCAGGTAAGAGATCACATCTATTGCTTCAGGTAAGAGATCACATCTATTGCTTCAGGTAAGAGATCACATCTATTGCTTCAGGTAAGAGATCACATCTATTGCTTCAGGTAAGAGATCACATCTATTGCTTCAGGTAAGAGATCACATCTATTGCTTCAGGTAAGACATCTATTGCTTCAGGTAAGAGATCACATCTATTGCTTCAGGTAAGAGATCACATCTATTGCTTCAGGTAAGACATCTATTGCTTCAGGTAAGAGATCACATCTATTGCTTCAGGTAAGAGATCTATTGCTTCAGGTAAGAGATCACATCTATTGCTTCAGGTAAGAGATCTATTGCTTCAGGTAAGAGATCACATCTATTGCTTCAGGTAAGAGATCACATCTATTGCTTCAGGTAAGACATCTATTGCTTCAGGTAAGAGATCACATCTATTGCTTCAGGTAAGAGATCACATCTATTGCTTCAGGTAAGAGATCACACCTATTGCTTCAGGTAAGAGATCACATCTGTTGCTTCAGGTAAGAGATCTATTGCTTCAGGTAAGAGATCACATCTATTGCTTCAGGTAAGAGATCACATCTGTTGCTTCAGGTAAGAGATCTATTGCTTCAGGTAAGAGATCACATCTATTGCTTCAGGTAAGAGATCACACCTATTGCTTCAGGTAAGAGATCACATCTGTTGCTTCAGGTAAGAGATCTATTGCTTCAGGTAAGAGATCACATCTATTGCTTCAGGTAAGAGATCACATCTATTGCTTCAGGTAAGAGATCACATCTATTGCTTCAGGTAAGAGATCACATCTATTGCTTCAGGTAAGACATCTATTGCTTCAGGTAAGAGATCACATCTATTGCTTCAGGTAAGAGATCACATCTATTGCTTCAGGTAAGACATCTATTGCTTCAGGTAAGAGATCACATCTATTGCTTCAGGTAAGAGATCACATCTATTGCTTCAGGTAAGAGATCTATTGCTTCAGGTAAGACATCTATTGCTTCAGGTAAGACATCTATTGCTTCAGGTAAGAGATCACATCTATTGCTTCAGGTAAGAGATCTATTGCTTCAGGTAAGAGATCACATCTATTGCTTCAGGTGGTCTCTAATAGAACTGTTGGTATGTTTGTGGTCCCTTATAAAACTGTTGGTATGTCTGTGGTCCCTTATAGAACTGTTGGTATGTTTGTGGTCCCTTATAAAACTGTTGGTATGTCTGTGGTCCCTTATAGAACTGTTGGTATGTTTGTGGTCCCTTATAGAACTGTTGGTATGTTTGTGGTCCCTTATAAAACTGTTGGTATGTTTGTGGTCCCTTATAAAACTGTTGGTATGTTTGTGGTCCCTTATAAAACTGTTGGTATATTTGTGGTCTCTTATAAAACTGTTGGTATGTTTGTGGTCCCTTATAAAACTGTTGGTATGTCTGTGGTCCCTTATAGAACTGTTGGTATGTTTGTGGTCCCTTATAAAACTGTTGGTATGTCTGTGGTCCCTTATAGAACTGTTGGTATGTTTGTGGTCCCTTATAAAACTGTTGGTATGTCTGTGGTCCCTTATAGAACTGTTGGTATGTCTGTGGTCCCTTATAAAACTGTTGGTATGTTTGTGGTCCCTTATAAAACTGTTGGTATATTTGTGGTCTCTTATAAAACTGTTGGTATATTTGTGGTCTCTTATAAAACTGCTGGTATATTTGTGGTCTCTTAAAAAACTGTTGGTATGTCTGTGGTCTCTCATTTGACTAGATACTTTTCTCTATCATAGAAACTCAACAAATGAGAAGAAGTTGATTGACTGTTTGCCTGAACTCATTGACTACTGTGATGGTCAGAAAGAGGTTCTAGCTTCTATGCTAGGTGGTGAGATGAACAAGACACAAGTTGACCAGGTTGGATTTACATTTCTATCATACAAGACACTCCAATTGACCTAGATAGTTAATTACATTTCTATCATACAAGACACATGACATATTGACCTAGATAGTTAATTACATTTCTATCATACAAGACACACTACATATTGACCTAGATAGTTAATTACATTTCTATCATACAAGACACACTACATATTGACCTAGATAGTTAATTGCATTTCTATCATACAAGACACACTACATATTGACCTAGATAGCTAATTACATTTCTATCATACAAGACACACGACATATTGACCAAGATAGTTAATTACATTTCAGTAAGAGAAAAATACAATTGACCTGTTGTGTGATCAACATTTTTATTAGAAAATATTATTCCATGGTGACTATAATGATCATGGCCTTAGACAATTCAAGACAACAACAGGCACAATGGATGTTTTGACCCAAGGTCTTCATCAGCATAGAACAGTGTGGTAAAAGGCTAGACAAAATGACAAACACTGACATTATTTTGAATTTTTGAGGACACAAACTAACACTACCCTTGTATTACTATTTTCATAAATTACTGCAGCAACCATTTGTATTGAGCCTAACTTGCTATGTCCTCAGCTGTTTGAAGTGCTGGTACGTCTTCCTCTCATTGAAGTCTCCATAGAGATAAAGGGCTGGCTGGAGGGAGAGCAAACGGCTCTGTCTAGACCAGTCAACCTCTCATACAAAGGTCAGTTTCAACAACTACTGTAGCACTGAAAAATCTGTTTTCATTTTTCACTGCTTGGCACTGGTTGTCAGCTATCAGGAAAAGCAATTTTACATTGTCCTATCAATCACAACACAAATAGCACATATAGCTTTATACCAGATATATATATATATATATATATATATATATATAGGCCCTATATATATTTATTTATATATATATATATATAATTCTCTTCATGGGGACTATAGAAAACAGAAAGCTGTAAGCGTGCCTAGCAGCCCCCTCTCTTCCTCTCTAGGCATATCCCTACCACGTCCACCCCCACATGGTCTGGTGAACTGTGGTTCACGCTAAATGTTTACAATCGTAGAGCCGGGTTTAGTGACGGCTATTAGGGGCAGATAATTAAGTTTGAAATTATTTTAAACTTAAGGGAAGTAACTAAGAGGAGGGAGGAGTTATCATCCTTAACGACCTACTGATAGTGTTTTAAAGCAAATATTTTCAGTGGCAGCATCGGTACTGTCGAATTCACAAATTATGAATTACTAAAAATTACTGAAAAGAAGAAAATAAAAAAACTAATTAGTGGCATATATTACTTCGCGGGTCCGCTTGTATATATATAATTCTCTTCATGGGGACCATAGAAGACACCACGCAGCTTAGCTACCACCCTCATCCGCACCTGTCAGGTGAGCTGTGGTTCACCCCGAATGTTTACAATAGTAGAGCCAGTTCGGCTCGAATAAGTGACGGCTATTAAGGGCAGATAATTTAGTTTTTAAACAATTTGAAACTAAGGGAAGATAATAAGTTCTGCTTGATATTTGCGTTGTCGTCTGTAAACGGCTGCTTTCATTGGGTGGGTTGGGGTGGGGGAGGCATGGTGGGGTAGCGTCGAATTCACAAAATTTGGAATTGTTGATAAGTAGAAAATAAAACAACTAGATAGCGGTGTATGCTATTTGCTATAAAAATAAATTCTAGTGTAGTTATTAATGTTCTAGATAGCAGGAGTTTATTGAATTAAAAACTATTGTAAAAAGCATCACTCTACACCACCCTAAACAATTCACATTACTATTTTTTTTTTTATTTCATTAAGTATATATTTTAATCGAATTTTTCTTTAATCTAAGGTTTTCTTAGTTTATTTTTGTGTGTAGTCAAAAACGGAGTAAATTAAAAGTTTAAATTCTTGATGCAGTCATGTCCCTTTAACAGGTAAAATTGAGCTGTCAAAGAGGTCAATTTTCCACTCCTTCATACTGCATTTTGCCCAGATTAATTGGTTTTAAGGAAAGTGTGACAGACATCACCTACTTTGGTTTTAAAGACAAAAATTATTTTCCATTTGGAATTGCATATACCATTATGCCAGATCAAATTATATAAAACAACATACAGGATTGAATTAAACCTTTGTATACACTACCTTTTCAGATGGAAGAAGACCCAATTCTGATTGGTTGAAAGTCCATGCAGACCAAGAATATGTGCTAAATATATCTTTGAAAAGAATTAACAAAATTAAGGTGCATGATTCTTTGATTTTTAAAATGTCATTAACTAGGGCATGTATATTATGTGAATACATGGTCAGCTGTTCAGCGCAAGTTAACAGTAAAATTAAATAACCTTGTAGGGTTGTTTAACAGTTGTATGTAAGTCTTATAGGGGTATCATCCTGCAGTTAAAGGATATGAATGTATGTGGCTGTGTTGTTATAGGGGTATCATCCTGCAGTAAAGGATATGAATGTATGTGGCTGTGTTGGCATTGAAAACTCTCTGTAACATTTTGAATGAGATCAGAAGATGTGCAGTAAGAAAGGTATGAAAAGAAAAAAGGCCCAATGTGGCCTTAAAGCTAATTTAGTTTGGCTATTACAAAGTGGACACCTACAGAAAATGTCCTTCTTCTTACCTTATCCTTTGATACATAAGAAATTATTTTAATATAGTATTCTGCATTAATTTATTGTTTAATTTGAACAAAAGTCATTAATATAAAACATACTCATTTTCGTTTTATTCTTTTAAAACAGTGTTTTTTTAACACGTTCTTTTCTCATTTAGTTTAACATCTTATGACAAACATTTCCAGAATGTGCATATCACTTTGTAAATAAAATAATGAAAATTGTGTGGTGCTCTTACAGATAACATGATATGGAATTAGTATGTATTGAAATAGTGTATTAGAGCATCGTCTAAGAGAATTATTAAAATTATGTCTTGTTCTAAGAAAGTTTCAATAAAATTATTAAATAATGCAGTGGAAGTTTTGAGAGAATTCTTTTATTTTAGTGGATATCAACATGTTGTGGTTGACTTATTTGTGGTGACTCTTATTTTTGTGAGCAGTTTTTTGTTATGAGAATTATTTATTATTGCTGTGATTTTCAACTGATGTAAATTTTCCTCTCAATTAGAAAACTGACAGCAAGGCCCACAGTTTGAGTTTCCCCAAGCCAAAAGATGAAGGTTGGATGCTTGTTATAGGAAACATTGAGAGCAGGGAGGTCATTGCCCTAAAGCGTGTCCCATGGGTCAGAGGTCGCACCAGCACACAGATGGCTTTCTACACACCAGAGAGACAAGGCCGTGTCATTTACACCCTGTATTTGATGAGTGACGCCTACCTGGGACTGGACCAACAGTATGACATTTGTCTGGACATCATAGAACCCAGTGTAGAAACTCAGGACAATTCTGAGCTGCAAGTCATTGCTGATGATAACAAGTGGTAATGTGACTGGTCTGATGGTGACCACTGGTCATGTGACTGGTCTCATGGTGACCACTGGTCATGTGACTGGTCTGATGGTGACCACTGGTCATGTGACTGGTCTGATGGTGACCACTGGTAATGTGACTGGTCTGATGATGACAATTGGTCACTATCCAAATCTTACTCTTCTGGGGAGTTTTCTCCCATATAGTTTAAATTATGATCCTTATGAATGATAGTAACTACACTAAAAATTGTTTTGTAATTAGTCTTATGCTTGTTTTAAATAAATTTTAATGATAATTGTAATGAAACCTGTCTGGTGTCATTCAAATGAAAGAAGTTTAAATATGGAATCCTTAATTTCACCTTTTCAATATTGTTGTGAGCAAACTCCAAATGTTTCATTTTCATTTGTTAAAAGCTGAAATGTCTTTATGCTCGCAACTGAAGTTGTTGCTTATAAAAAAATGTTTCATTGGTTAAACAGAATTTGGAAAAAAAACTTCATTAGGGCCTATATTTTTTATTACAGTATTAAGAAACATTTGTATATATGGTAACTTCAACAGTAAGTTAATTTATATACAAACAATGCTGTTACATTAGGTTGAAAAAAGTTTCAGCAGTATAAAAATAAAATTATGCTTCATATTATTTTAACTTATTGTGATCATTTTTTTTCTAGTCGTTACAGATAAACTTGATTTATAGAAATGTTACTAACAGATAAACTTGATTTATAGAAATGTTACTGATCCTTTGCATTAAATTAAGATCATTTTTCCATTTGTCACATAAAATAATGAATGTAATTTACTTTTCTTAAGTCTTGAAGTTGTTGTAGCAGGTGGACAAGTTCTATGTTCAAATAAAATTTTAAGAATGAATAGTTGATCTCATGCTTTGTTTTTCAAAATTAATAAAATTCAAAAAACAATTTTAGACATCATTGATTGTTATTTGTTATCATTGTTGACAATGTGTCAACATTGGCTGGTACCATCATGTCAACATTGGTTGGCTGGTACCATCATGTCAACATTGGCTGGTTGGTACCATCATGTCAACATCGGCTGGTTGGTACCATCATGTCAACATTGGCTGGTTCATAACATCATGTCAACATTGGTACCATCATGTCAACATTGGCTGGTACCATCATGTCAACATTGGCTGGTGCCATCATGTCAACATTGGCTGGTTCATAACATGTCAACATTGGTACCATCATGTCAACATTGGTTGGTTGGTGCCATCATGTCAACATTGGCTGGCTGGTACCATCATGTCAGCATTGGTTGGCTGGTACCATCATGTCAACATTGGCTGGTTCATAACATGTCAACATTGGTACCATCATGTCAACATTGGCTGGTTGGTGCCATCATGTCAACATTGGCTGGCTGGTGCCATCATGTCAACATTGGCTGGTTGATACCATCATGTCAACATTGGCTGGTTGGTGCCATCATGTCAACATTGGCTGGCTGGTGCCATCATGTCAACATTGGCTGGTTGATACCATCATGTCAACATTGGTTGGCTGGTACCATCATGTCAACATTGGCTGGTAGGTAACATCATGTCAACATTGGCTGGTTCATAACATCATGTCAACATTGGTACCATCATGTCAACATTGGCTGGTACCATCATGTCAACATTGGCTGGTTGATACCATCATGTCAACATTGGTTGGTAGGTAACATCATGTCAACATTGGCTGGTAGGTAACATCATGTCAACATTGGTACCATCATGTCAACATTGGCTGGCTGGTACCATCATGTCAACATTGGCTGGCTGGTACCATCATGTCAACATTGGCTGGCTGGTACCATCATGTCAACATTGGCTGGCTGGTACCATCATGTCAACATTGGCTGGTTGATACCATCATGTCAACATTGGCTGGTTGGTGCCATCATGTCAACATTGGTTGGCTGGTACCATCATGTCAACATTGGCTGGTAGGTAACATCATGTCAACATTGGCTGGTAGGTAACATCATGTCAACATTGGCTGGTTCATAACATCATGTCAACATTGGTACCATCATGTCAACATTGGCTGGTACCATCATGTCAACATTGGCTGGTTGATACCATCATGTCAACATTGGTTGGTAGGTAACATCATGTCAACATTGGCTGGTAGGTAACATCATGTCAACATTGGTACCATCATGTCAACATTGGCTGGCTGGTACCATCATGTCAACATTGGCTGGCTGGTACCATCATGTCAACATTGGCTGGTAGGTAACATCATGTCAACATTGGTACCATCATGTCAACATTGGCTGGCTGGTACCATCATGTCAACATTGGCTGGCTTGTACCATCATGTCAACATTGGCTGGCTGGTACCATCATGTCAACATTGGCTGGTAGGTAACATGTCAACATTGGCTGGCTGGTACCATCATGTCAACATTGGCTGGCTGGTACCATCATGTCAACATTGGTACCATCATGTCAACATTGGCTGGCTGGTACCATCATGTCAACATTGGCTGGCTGGTACCATCATGTCAACATTGGCTGGCTGGTGCCATCATGTCAACATTGGCTGGTTGATACCATCATGTCAACATTGGCTGGTTGGTGCCATCATGTCAACATTGGCTGGCTGGTACCATCATGTCAACATTGGCTGGCTGGTACCATCATGTCAACATTGGCTGGCTGGTACCATCATGTCTATATTGGCTGGTTGGTACCATCATGTCAACATTGGCTGGTTGGTACCATCATGTGAACATTGGCTGGTAGGTAACATCATGTCAACATTGGCTGGTTGATACCATCATGTCAACATTGGCTGGTTAGTACCATCATGTCAACATTGGTACCATCATGTCAACATTGGCTGGTACCATCATGTCAACATTGGTGCCATCATGTCAACATTGGCTGGCTGGTGCCATCATGTCAACATTGGCTGGTTGATACCATCATGTCAACATTGGTTGGCTGGTACCATCATGTCAACATTGGTTGGTAGGTAACATCATGTCAACATTGGCTGGTAGGTAACATCATGTCAACATTGGTACCATCATGTCAACATTGGCTGGCTGGTACCATCATGTCAACATTGGCTGGCTAGTACCATCATGTCAACATTGGTTGGTAGGTAACATCATGTCAACATTGGCTGGTAGGTAACATCATGTCAACATTGGCTGGCTGGTACCATCATGTCAACATTGGCTGGCTGGTACCATCATGTCAACATTGGCTGGTTGGTACCATCATGTCAACATTGGCTGGCTGGTACCATCATGTCTATATTGGCTGGTTGGTACCATCATGTCAACATTGGCTGGTTGGTACCATCATGTCAACATTGGCTGGTAGGTAACATCATGTCAACATTGGCTGGTTGATACCATCATGTCAACATTGGCTGGCTGGTACCATCATGTCAACATTGGCTGGCTTGTACCATCATGTCAACATTGGCTGGCTGGTACCATCATGTCAACATTGGCTGGTAGGTACCATCATGTCAACATTGGCTGGTTGGTAACATCATGTCAACATTGGCTGGTTGGTGCCATCATGTCAACATTGGCTGGTTGGTACCATCATGTCAACATTGGCTGGCTGGTACCATCATGTCAACATTGGCTGGCTTGTACCATCATGTCAACATTGGCTGGCTGGTACCATCATGTCAACATTGGCTGGTAGGTACCATCATGTCAACATTGGCTGGTTGGTACCATCATGTCAACATTGGCTGGTAGGTACCATCATGTCAACATTGGTACCATCATGTCAACATTGGCTGGCTGGTGCCATCATGTCAACATTGGCTGGTAGGTACCATCATGTCAACATTCTCTTGTTCACCTTCCATTGAATAGAGCTCACCCATTCTTTGTTTCATGTCTTGTAGAGATAACTGGATAATGCTGGCAACAAATTCTGGTCTTGAAACTTTTCTTTGTTTAGAAACTGTTGTACTGTATTCCTGAGCTTCAAACTTGGGACCAGAACCTTTGCTTGCAGGATCATCATTTTTTTTATTATGGATTTGAGCAGCAGTAACTGAATCGTTTGCTGTATTTGTGGAATTATGACCTCTATAAGCTGCATGAGGAACTTTTTGAGTTGAATGATGACCTTTTTTAGCTGGATCATGACCTTTTTGAACTGTATCATAACTTGTTTTAGCTGAATCATGGCCTCGAGAATTGAGGTGTTTTTCTTTTATAAGAGACATTTCCATCAAACCTTCATTGATTAGTGGTGTAATGCTCAGTTGAGTAAAATCTGTTGTATGTTTTCCCTCTTCTTGTAATTTGCTTTTTGGTTGGTATTTGCTTTTCTTATGATGTGAATATTTTTTTGTTTCCATTTGGGCATGTATAGAGCTGACTTGGTTATTGACTTGTGTAGAGCTGACTTGGTTATTGCGTACATTTGCGTGAGTTGGTTGCTGTAGTTCATCAGTTATTTTATAGTTGCCTCCCTCTACTGCTGGTGGTCTGAAAATTTCTGGGGTCTCCATAATAAGTTGGTTTGTTTCAGTATTTTTTTTTAAAGGTTTTTTGCCAGAATTAAAAAGAGTATAATTGACTTTTTCTGAACCAGCCATTTGTCTTGACTGATTGAGAGAGCAATTTTTGTTTGGTTCACTTTTTTCCAGGTCTGTATCCTGTCGGCCTGCTGTAGCTCTGGACATTTTGTCCATGTCTGTATCCTGTACTGTAGCTCTGGACATTTTGTCCATGTCTGTCTCCTGTACTGTAGCTCTGGACATTTTGTCCATGTCTGTATCCTGTACTGTAGCTCTGGACATTTTGTCCATGTGTTTCTCCTGTACTGTAGCTCTGGACATTTTGTCCATGTCTGTATCCTGTACTGTAGCTCTGGACATTTTGTCCATGTCTGTATCCTGTACTGTAGCTCTGGACATTTTGTCCATGTCTGTATCCTGTACTGCAGCTCTGGACATTTTGTCCATGTCTGTATCCTGTACTGTAGTTCTGATATCAACAGTTACCTGTTGGCCATTTTCTGTCTGATGAAAGATTCCGTCAAAACTTTCATGGAAAATTGTGCAATCCTGTCCATCGCCATCTTGATTGTTTTTTCCTCTTAGTTGGTGATATAAGGAGAGGAACAAGGCATAGAGACCAGACTTGCCATTATATGTGAATTTACGTCGTTTCCTTAAATAAAGAAATGACCATTGAGTGAGGTACATCTAGTATTTTATTTCATTGAACTGATTAAAATACTTAAAATTTTAAAGCATTATTTAAAGAAAAAATTCCCTTTTCAAGTTTGATGGTCCATGGGGAAAGTGAGGTAGAGTTCACTGTTTCCATGACTTCAGAGTATAAACGGATAGTGTGGTTCGCACTTTACCCAGCTGCTTTTACTTTCCCTAACATGAGTTAGGTACCCATCAGAGCTAGATGGACCCAGGGAAGCTCTACTGATTTGAACCCGGAGTCCCACTCTTGATTTTCAGGGTTTTTTTTTTAATTTTATTAAATAAATGTGAAGAGAAATATTATTTAAAAAATTATTTTTTTCATTTAATTTTATCTTGGACCATATGAATGCTTAAAACATATAGACTTGTTCTACTAGTTAATTTCTATACCTATAAATGATAAAGGCCACCAATAATGCAATGATGACTAAAACAGCCAAGATACCAGCTAGTATCAGAACTGCAGGCTCAGACTTTGAGTTTTTATCTGCAAATAATTCACAAGTTCATTCATAATTTCATCTCTAACATTTTTTACGTTACACATTAAATTAAATTAAAGTTAACTAAATAGTTGAAATGGAGTAGTTGGCTTAAATATAAAAAATAGAACAACCGTGGAGATAAACCGAACCACTGGCAGGAATTAGTCATCATGATGTATATTTTTTTATCTTGATGTCTGAGATTTTCAGGTGAGATCATGGAAATCTTCAAGCAAAATAAAAGTGAACTTGCCTAAAATTAAATGCATGTATTAATTGTTTGGACAAGTAATTCTGCTACTAACACTCCACTTACCTATTGTCTGCTGAGTGCCAGTTTGTTTGGATGAATCTGTAGTTCTACTGACAATTGGTGATGATTCAACTGCTTGAAATTCTGTACTTTGATCCAACTTTGTTTCCAAGGCACTGGTTGTTGCTTTAATTATTGTCTTTGTTGTTAAGGGTCCTGTTATTACTTCATTTGTTGTTGTGTTTGTGGCTTCAACTCTTGGGCTGGTTATTGTGTCAGCTGTTGGGCTGGTTATTGTGTCAGCTGTTGGCCTGGTTATTGCTTCCTTTGTTGATGTCAGATCAGCAGCTAATGATGGTAAAAATGTTTTCAGTGTAGCCTCAGTAGTGGCCCCCACTGAAGGTTTGGGTAGGATTTTATCAGGAGGTAACAGCAAAGATGTGCAAGAGATTTGTAATTGCCCTTGTCCTTGCAAAAATAAATAGGAAAAAAATTAATGTAATTTAATAAATATTAACATAACTACATAATATGTAGATTTCAAGTAAGCATGAAAAAACATTTTTTATTAAAGACAATGTAAGGTTTATTTAACAAATCTGCTAGGTATATTACCAACAATGTGAATCCACACATTCTGGTCTTCTAAACCATAGCTGGAGTATCTGACATACAGTGGTGGATCCATGGGAAGAAACATGTTGGTATTGAATAATTTAATGTGAGAGATGTCTGTAACAAATATGTCTTCATTTTTACACAGGGATCTTGATGAATTTCAAAAATGAATTTTTGGCTAATCAATGATAAAAAAATTAGTAGTTTTTCTATAATTAGTTACAAAAATATCAATATGTTAACAATAGATCAACTGGCAAAAGACATAAATTATTATGACAGATGACAACTCCACAGCTAAAGAAATATGGAAATATACAGAGACCCACTTGATAACTTAGATTTGTACAATTTACTCCAATGTAATGTATGTAATATGTGGAGGAGAAACCTGAAGGACAAACTTAGGGAAAGTTCAGTTACTCATCAAGAGCTGCTTCAAAAAAAAACTCTACAGATATTCTCTCCAGACAAGATCAGAAAAATTCTACAGATATTCTTTTCAGACAAAATCAGAAATGCCAACCTTTGGCAAAAGACAGGCCAACTAGAGAAGGAAATAAGGATTGGAATTCTAATCAATGCATGTAACAGCCAATGAAATTTGAACTATTGCTTGTAACAGCAAGCTAAAGTGTAAAACAAACGTCATGTGACCTGTATAATCTCTTGACCTCCAGACTTGACGGGAATCAGACAAGACAGCAAACACAGAACTGTACTGGTCATCTTCTGGCCATGGGAGGGTCGATTGAACTGAGATTTGTACTGCTGTCATTTTTATCGGAGACCCCTAGAGAAATAATGAAGAAAAGAAATCGTATTAAAACGGACAGAATTATCTATAAGGGAGGGTACCAAAATCAACAACAGAGAAAATATCTATGCTTAAAGTAAGACCAGGCAGAATAATTGAATTAGCTAAATGACCTGAAGACTGCAGTTACAGACTCTGTTGTCTGCTTTAGAGTTGGGGAACATTGGGCTAGCCAGGTAAAAGTGTGTTCCTGGTGTCAGATTCACGGAATCTTTACAAACGTCGACAACAACAGAACCTGAAAGCAGATTAGTCAACGTTTTTATGTTTCAAACTAAATTTCAATTTTATTATTTTTCAATTTGTGAAGAATAAGATTAATCTTATTTGAAAAAAAATAAGTATACAAACTACATTCCTTTGTATCAATTACCTTTCTAATTCATTTTTAAAGTTAGTTTTGATGTTGGAAAAAAAATTTTATCTAATTAGCATGGTTTGATAAAGAGTGGGGTGGTAGATAAAACACAGGTATTTTAAACACGACCATTTATTTATTTACTAATTATTTATTTTTATTAACAACAGTTTAGAAGCCGTTGTTCTTAAATGTTTTAATTTGTTTCCATTTGCGTTATCATTTGCGTTTAGGTTTGTGTTTGCGTATATGTTTGCATTACGTTTGCGTGTTTTTTTTTCATGTGTTTGCGTTACCGTTTATGTTTGTGTATGCGTTTGCTTTTGTGTTGGCGTTGCTGTTTGTCTTTGTGTTTGCGTTACGTTTGTGTTTTGGTTGTGATTGGTTGTGGTTAGGGTTTAGTTTAGAATTAGAGTTAGAGTTAGGTTCAGGATTATGTGTTATTTTCTTAAACGTCCATATTTGAATATAGAAATCTAATTGGAAAAGTAATATATTTCCTACACCCGGGCAACTGCGCGTATATACTGCTTAATAAACACACAAGTCACGGTCCTTTACAGATAGGTTTTTCACAGAGGCCAGTGCAAGGCCTGGGCGGGACGGCTGTTACTTGATAGTGATTTATTAATTATTTTTTTTTAATTATTTTTTTTTTTTGAGAAATCAAAAATAGCGTATAGTACTAGATCTACTTCCATTCACAGTAAATAACTTAAAATTTGACAGAAAACAGAAAATGATATATTTCATCAACCTAGCTTAAACGGTACACAAGTTATCGTGTTCACAGACACATGTACACACACCCACAAACACGCGGACAAAATTGCAATGTCCAGTTTTTCTGAAGTTTTGATAAATCTGTATTTATAATTTTTGCCCGATTAAAATAAGTCCCCTATACTTCGTATATGATCTAGTACTGAGATGTAAAACGACGAAAACTGTCGAAATTTCATGTGATTTCTGTGTAAGATTACAATATTTCTTCTAAAGGCCTACGCTCTATACGCGGCAGTAAAAATATAAAATAAGATTTTTTTTTCAAAAACTCAAAATGTAAGTAATATTTTAATTGCGTACAAAAAGAACCTTGCATCACCATCACTGAGTGCAAAGAACAAAAGCATTAACGTATGATTTTCACACAAAGTGAAAAACATACAAATGAATTTTACTGCAAATCAGTGCGACTTCTACTGTCGTCTTTCAGACAGGTTCAGATATGTGCAGCTTCACCCTGAAATTCAGTGAGTGTTATGTTTTAGTAGTTTCCATCTCCATGCAGCTAAATTAAGGAAGTGTTCTATTTTGCTGATGTTAGACTAGAATTGCTCGACTTGGCATTGCAATCATGTAGTTATGACGCTGACTCCCATCAAGTTCTGTAATATTTCTGAATCCATGTTGTAGAGATTCGTCCTAAACCACTTTCGTTTTTGCTCGACATAGTTGCTATGAAGGGATTAAAATATTAGAAAGAAATCACACGACGTACCATCTCGATATTCACAAGTCGACGACTGGGTCATGATATAAAAATAAATGTATGTTCGTTACAGCCCATCCCTCTCATTAATTATATATATAGTTATTCTTGTCTGTGAAAAAGTGCCCCCCCCCCCCCCCCCGTTGGAAAGGTCTATAGTAAAAAAAACTCTATAGCGCTTCTTACCAGTTAGGACTCATAAACTCATAACATTATTTTTTTCTGTGTCACGTTTATTTTCTTAGCTTTGACTGTGTATAAATCAATACTTAAGATTGAAATGAGCTTTTAAATTAATGTTAATACTACTTTTGGCGCTCCATTAGGATAAGCGCCCGGGGTGGCCGCCCTACTCACCCTCCCCTAGCTACGCCACATGGTTCCACAAAATAGAAATATCACGGTACCACTACGTGTTATCTAGCTTCAGCGAGCTTAAATACTATGTCACGCTGTCGTATTTAAACTGTCATCGTCCGCGGCCGCAAGTTCTATCTTCCGCACTGACAAAGCCGATCGCAAATCTTATGAATCGGGTGTATGTCCGGGTACATCTGCTCTACAACTACTACTGACACAGTATATAACTTACTACTGACTGATACAGTATATAACTTACTACTGATACAGTATATAACTTACTACTGATACAACATATAACTTACTACTGATACAGTATATAACTTACTACTGATACAACATATAACTTACTACTGATACAGTATATAACTTACTACTGATACAACATATAACTTACTACTGATACAGTATATAACTTACTACTGATACAACATATAACTTACTACTGATACAGTATATAACTTACTACTGATACAGTATATTACTTACTACTGATACAGTATATAACTTACTACTGACTGATACAGTATATAACTTACTACTGACTGAAACAGTATATAACTTACTACTGATACAGTATATAACTTACTACTGATACAACATATAACTTACTACTGATACAGTATATAACTTACTACTGATACAGTATATAACTTACTACTGACTGAAACAGTATATAACTTACTACTGATACAGTATATAACTTACTACTGACTGAAACAGTATATAACTTACTACTGATACAGTATATAACTTACTACTGATACAACATATAACTTACTACTGATACAGTATATAACTTACTACTGACTGATACAGTATATAACTTACTACTGACTGAAACAGTATATAACTTACTACTGATACAGTATATAACTTACTACTGATACAGTATATAACTTACTACTGATACAACATATAACTTACTACTGATACAGTATATAACTTACTACTGATACTGTATATAACTTACATTTCAGTAATTAAATTTTTATAGTATTATCTACTACATTTAGCGCCCCTTTGGGTCGGCGCCTTTGGCAGCCGAACCCACCCGCCCTCCCCTAGCCACGCCTCTGTTAATTTAGTGAGATACTTATTGTATTTAATCTAAATCATTTAGTTTGGAACATTTCAGATGGTAAACTAATTTTAATGTTGATTTAGTGATCGCTCTGGTGCATGAAGCGACGTTGTAAAAACACGTGCCATATTTATTTTTAATAAGGCTTGTAAGTCTCATTTTCTCTCACTTTAAATTAGAAATCTCATTAGCAAGGGAGATATTTATATTTTTAAAGTAGAAATCTACCACGGATCAAAATTACCCTATAAAAAATTGTATGAAAAATAGGCAAACTTTGAAACCACTGCCATGACTAATTATTTCTCTTCTTTAAATAGCCGACTTGTGGTGCCGATAAAGCTAATTATAATAGTTTTGTATTAAGCAAATTAAAACAAAATTTCTTCTCTTAATTTTTTTTATTAAAATAAAGCATCCTGGCGAATGACTAAGGTATAAAAAGGGATTAATTCAAATTTAGTAATATACATGCAAAAAACATAACACTGTTAAAAGTATATATTTTCTATATAAAATATATAAATTTCATTTCGTTTTCGGGGGGGGGGGGACTGGAAGAGATGCCTGGAAGAAACTCTATATGTAGGCCTACTTGTCTTGGTATAACAAAATTAACATTCAGTTGCGTTCAGAGGGGTGGGAGGAGGGCGGGGGGGGGGGGGGGCGCCTTAGGATCTATATCAGGCGGCATTAAACAGAGTGATTTATTATTATTTTTTGGAAGAAAGTTAAAACTGTTGTTATGTTGTGCAACCCTAAGGATTCACCCGTTCAATAATTAAGACAATAATGTTTTTTGGTTTTAAAATATTGTATGAATTCTAAACAGATTTTGAAGTCTATACTGTTTTGATACATCAGGCCGAGTTCGCTGTATTGTAAACTTTATTTTCCTAATTATTCGTCACGTGATTAAATTTTCTTAAGTGATTTGGTATGAATTACATAACTGTCAAAAGTGATTTAATATCTTAGCAAAGGAGAAAAAAACTACGAACATGGGAGAGATAAAAATCTGTTATTATAGTGGAAAGTTTGACATTAGCTTATAAACTCCAAAACATTTGTGTTATTATATAGGCCTTTATACACACACACACACACACACATAAATAAATAAATAAATAAATATATATATATATATATATATATATATATATATATATATATATATATATATATATATATATATAATGGAAAGGCCCCGCGCAGATGGTTGGCCCTAGGCCCCGCGTATTCCTAACGCCGGCTCTGATAGTAATTTTAGGTAAGGGTTAGATCAGGGGTCTCCAAACTACGGCCCGCGGGCCGGATGCGGCCCGCGAGGTCATTTTATCCGGCCCGCGACGATCTTATTGTCCACTGAATAAATGTTTGTTGGAGATGGCCGAGGAGCTTTGCACAGAAAATTCAAAACCATTTGAAAATGTATCTTTGTGTGCAAATACAATTACTCGCCGTGTTGCAGACATTGGTGAAAACATAGTGACTCTAATAATGAAAAATGCAAGCAAGCCTCGCCATTTTTCAATTGCAATGGATGAGTCACTGGACAGTTGCAGAGGCGTAGCGACCCTTCCCGGCGCCCGGGGACATACTTTCAATTTGGCGCCCCCTTGGGAGCAAATTTTCGATTTGCACCCCCCTCGAACTTTTCAATTGCACCCCCCCCCCCTCAAACTTTCGATTTGCACCCCCCCTCGAACTTTTCATTTGCACCCCCCCCCCTCAAACTTTCAATTTGGCCCCCCCCCCTAAGGTCGGCGCCCGGGGACATATGCAGAGTTCCTTCCAGGCATCTCTTCGGGGGGACTAAGCCCCCCGAAAAATTTTTACCGCCCCCCCCCCCCGAACGAAATGAAATTTATATAATTTATATATAAAATATCTACTTTTAACAGTGTCCGCCCCCCCCCCCCCACCCGAAGAAAGTTTACCGCC